AACTTTAGCACCAAATCCAAAGCTAGGAACCAGTTGCTCAAGGGGGCAGGTCTTTTCCTGCCTCTGGGGAACCTTGCATAGACTTCCTTTATTCATTTATTTAAGCATTTATTTATTCACTTAACATCTACTCATGTATATATACATTATGGCATTTCTTTTTTATTTATAAGAGTAATGCATATTTGTCTTTAAAAATGTTATACCATACAGATACAAACCAGGTAAAAAGTGAACTGATAATCCACCACAGAAATAATTCTCTTAACGGTGTGAGTAATGCTTCCAGATCTTTGTCCTACGTTTCGAGCAGCATTTCTCAACCTCCGGACTATTAAGTTTTGGGGCAGATCATTCTTTGTTGCAGAGAGCTGTCCTGTGCATTGTAGACTCCTGGGCCCCTACTCACTAGATGAAAGTAGCATCCATTCATCCATCCATCCTTCCTTCTAGCCATCCAACTGTCCATCCATCCATCCACCCACCGTGCTAGTGTCTAGATATGCCAGGGATAAAGCTGCCTGGAGCCTGCCTGTGGAGCCCACACTCTATTAAGGGAGCCAGACCTCAGTCCAACAATCACATGCACACCATGTGTACCAGCTTAGCTAAGAGATGGACTCCCATCTGGTGGGTCAGCTCTGGATGCCCATGTGGCCCTGAGCACTGAAGAGGCTCTAGAGAAGGGCTATTTGCAAGGACCACCCAGACACCCCACCCTAGGCCCACTCAGCCTGTGATTCAACACAGATGCCTACCGATGCCCATGCTGGGCACTGACTTGTCAGTGCATGGTGAGAGGCTGGGGGCAAGACAGACATGCTGCCTGCCCTGGTGGGCTTGAGGGTCAGCTGGAGGAGCCAGACAATTGAACCAGAAAGAATCCCTTTGTGATTCCTACATCCTAGACCCAGAATTTCTGACCCAGTAGATCAAAGACAGAGAGGCATGAATATATAATCCTTCCAAGCGCCTCTGGTGTGACCTGCCAGGTTTAGTGGCCACTGCTCTGAGGGATCAATGTTGGATACCCAGAGGTTCCCAGTTAAGTGAAATATGGTAAACAAATAGAATGGAGAAGCAAAAAAGACCTCCAAGAGTTCAGGGTTTGCTTTGGACAGAGAAGTTGGGGTGACTCCTTCCCCAGAAGCTGAAAGATCAGGCCATTGGTGAATGCCCCTGCCGCCAGGGAACAGCAGCGGGCATCATGTAGTTGTTAAGAAGGAACAAGCAGGGAAAGATTTCATTTAGCAGTGAAGAGCCTCTGCGATGTCAGATGGGCCTGACCTGGCAATCAGATCACAGGGGTGGCTTTCTAATTCTCTGTGGATACCCAGCGTTTACAAAAGAACCCATAGAGAGATCGATGGGGAGAAAATAACAAAGGGAAAAAACACTTTCCCATTGGACTAGTTTCGTAGTGGTGCCATGACAAAACACTATAAACTGGACAACAAATTCTGGAGGCTAGAATCCAAAATCCAGGGCCACCCTTCCCCGGAACTCTGTAAGGGAGAATCCCTGGCCTCTTCCGGCTTCTGGTGGTGGTCGGCAATCCTTGGCTTGTGGCTGCAACTCTCCAATCTGTCTCTGCTGTCACATGGCTTCCCCTCATGTGGCTATGCTGCCTCTTCTCTTCTTGGAAGGACACAAATGATATTGGAGTAAGGCCCACTGTACTCCAAATCTGACCTCAGTTTAATTACCAACAACCCTATTTCCAAATGAGGTCACATTCTGAGAGGGTAGGATATGGGCGTAGCTTTTTTGGAGACACAATTCAACCCATAACACCCATGAAGTCCCAAAGGCTTCTAGTCTCATCAAGGGCCAGGTGCCAAGATGACCTCTTCAACCCATCCGACTCTCACCTGGGACTGTCATTCCTTAAATTGAAGATCTTTCCTTGGAAAATGTGGAGACAAAATGTGCAAACGTCACAAGGAACACCCCATGTATCATGAAAAAACCACAGAGATTTGACCTTGTAAACATTGTTAACAAGGCTATTCCTTGGAGAGGTCCCGGGAATTATCAAATTCACTCACTTTCCATGTTTTACTTCTACTCCTCTCCCCCATGAAGATGTTACCCTAAAGAGGCAAGGAAATTTCAGTGCTTCTGATGGTGCCAAAAATAGCGTTTCATGAGACTATGAACGCCAATGTAAGAGTAATTTTTTTAAGTCAAGAAGTCAAGTTTGCGTCTGCAAGCTTGTTCCATGTTACTGGTGGACAAAGACTTTTCAAGGTGCTTAGGCTTTGTAGCTTGGCATGTGGACCTTGGCATGATGCCAGCCTAGGTTGGCAAGACCAGGAAGGGGCTAGATTTTTAAGGTTCCAAGTGTCACCAAGCCTCCCAGCACAGTGGCCTTTGAGTTTCAGAGAAGCAAATGAAGACTGCGCACTGGAAGAGAAATCCAAGGTATAGTGCTACCTGGGGAAGGGAAGTCAACCATTCTCTTATCGTTGAGGATGCAAGAGCACCCCTGGGAAGAGCACACTCATGCATTGCAGCATCAACATTTCCAGAGCAAACCTTATGTCCCACTCCCTCTGGGGAAAGCCCTCACCACCCGCTAAGTGCAGGCACTGGAGAAGGCATTTGCTAAGGGTCACTGCCTCGCCAGGATAGCTGAGCGCTCCCTCACCTGGAAAGCACACTTACAGGAGCCTCGGGCAGTTCTTGCCTCTGGGACCACTGGTGGCTACTCTCCAGGTTCTCCACCCACCACTTATAGAGACAAATTACACGGCCACCTTATGGCACCACTCTACCCAGCACAAGGGAAAGCTGGAGAAATGCTCAGAAGTCATCAGAAATGACAGCAACCTCTTGGGGAATTGCCAACACCTGGTATCCAATGTTTCCCCCCAGGAAACTAGGCAACAGGTCCCAGAAGCCCCCAACCACCAAGCCTTGAGCTTGAGTAGTTTCTGTCTTTCACCCTCCCATGACCCTACCCTGTTTTGTTTTTTAACATTGAAACACAGGAACTTCAGGTCTCAGGGCTTACCCTGACACCATACCCCCCAAAAGAAAGAATGATGGCCATTGTTATGGAATCGTTGAAAATGAGAAACAGACTCATCACCCCTTTCCTAACCCTCATCGTAAACTGTGCGCACATGGAAGATAAAACTACCGTGAAGTGCTATTGAAAACACCCTCTGACCTCCCAGAGAACCTGAACGCGGGCTGTCTGCGGGGCAGGGGCATCTTGGAGGTGCCAGGTGCCTGGATGGGCAAGTCTCCAGTCAACAGATGCAGTCCTGCTCAGACATCTCTGTCATTAGTGGAATTCTAGAAGCGTGCCTTCAGACAATGCTGGGTTTCCCTTTAGTGCAACCAGGGCAGAAAAGGGAGAATCGTCAGGCCTTCTCCCAAAGGGCAGCCTTCAGCGGTGCACATGCCTTAATACAAAGCCCAATTTGTCAAACAGCCAGAGTTGAACAACAGAAAGAAGTGCCATCTCACTAACACAGGGCTTGAAACAAAAATCACCCAGGCCAATGGGAAGCACCGGTCCACCAATCCCGTCACATGTCGACCACAGGAGCTGGAAGTGCTCCAAGGGCCAGGAGCCCTCAATCAGTAAGAGGCTGTGGGCGGTTTAGGAGGGACCTTTTGAGGGGACTTGGTTGTTGGGCATGATATCAGCTCAGGTGCTGGGAAGGAAGGAAAACCTGTCGTTACTGTGCACCGGGCCCAGAGGAGTCAGTAGCTGTCTGTGGACTTGCAGAGGAAAGGAGGAGAAAGGAGAACTGAGCACGGAGCCAGGAAAAGCCCTGCTTATGACTCACTCCAGTGCTTGGTGGGCTTTGGGGCGTTTCCAGAACATTGTCTGCATTGCAATTCGGCACAGCTCCTAAAAGCCAGAAGCAGGTTAAGATGCTGATAACAAAATAGTCCTTTTACCTTCGGCCCTTTGCCCCCATAACTTCCTTTTAACACCTAATATCTCACGCCTTGATTGAGAAATAACTGCCAACAGAAGACCTTTTAGCTGCTCTGAAGCAAAGCAATTGTGATTTTTGACATGTCAACCAGATAAATCGAACTAAATGAGAACGTTCAGGGCCAAGTACAGGCTGCCAAGAGCCAAGTATTAGGTTGGCAGAGTTTAAGTTACTTAACATCCAATGCCAGCATTAAGTCAGGAATTGCTGGGCATTTGGTAGTTATGCATTACGGATTATGAGATTGGAGTTGAAGCAAACGCCTTATCCACTGTGGAAACCCTCTGCTCCCACTTCCCTTTGAAGCCCAGCCGCTCGTGCCAAACTATAAACACATCACTTCCTGGAGGACATGCCAGGCCACTTCAACTTGAAACCAAGTCCCGATGGTGCGCATCCAAGATCCTCAAGACAGCCAGCAAGTTCGCAGGCCCTGCCAGAGTCCTCTGCTCTGGGAGCGGAGGGCAAGAGAACCGACCTCTGATTTTCCCGGCAGACTGAATGATCAGCAGGCCATGGATAGATTCGCATTATTGCGTCCCCAAACGTGAACTTCGGTTGATGGAAAACGATCGTGAAAACAATGAGCCCTCACCCCCATGGCTTGCATTTGATTGAATGCCAAGCCCTCCTAAGGAATGTCTGCCCGAGGAGCGCCTACAATCGTTTCCATTCTCAGTATATTTTGAGGTGGCAACTTGGCTGTAGAGCAGTGTTTCTCAACAGGGCAGCCTTACACAAGAGACGTTATTCCCAAACTGTTGGCACCTCTCACTATTGTCAATAAACTGTCCCTCACACACTTCCCAACACCCCTTGTGGTGAGATGGCGCTATAGGCAGCTGAGGGCTGCTGGTGAGCACAGAACCTGGGGCAGCTGAGCAGTCTTGCAGGACAGAGAAAAATGAAACTCCCAATTTCCCTTCGCTTGCAATCTTCCTATTCAGTCCTCTGAACTAAGCCAGTCAAACCATAAACAGCTCGGCCACTGTTCCACTCATCTTAGAGGCTTTAAACAATCAACTCATCACCAGGCTGTCACAGCTTCTATAGAGAATACTTTTTATTGTACAGGAATCATATACACAATTTAATGTGTGACATTTACAGGCATGGAGTTCAATTCCAAATCTCCATGGCACCCCATACACTGCACCGCGCACTCCTGTTCGGGATTAGCCCAACAAGAATGAGACACAAAGTTATCTCTTTGTGAACAGAGAGCTTCAATTAAATAGAACAGAGCCCAGGATCCTAATTCGTAACACCCTGTGTACATATGAATAAAACCTAAAGATGTGTTTTAGATGACCCCATCACCTTTAAAAGTTATTAAAATGGAACCCCATTTCTCAAAAAGTCACTAAGAAGTGCACCCGTATTTACAGACCCGATTAAATTATGCATAAATAAAACCTGTACACGAGACACATCGTTTCTCAAAATAACAGCGCCTCCTCTGGGACCTGGGGGGTGACAGGCAGCAAAAAAAACGCTTCATGCCTACCCTTTTCAAGTTTACTCGAATCACCAAGATGTGAAATAAATATGCAAATAAAGCTTCAGTACCTTAAAGGAACATGTCATTTCAAAGAATCTCCCATTTGAAGAGTTAATTTTCAGCTAAACAAAAAACAAAACAACATAAAATCAGCAGGCTTTGTTTCTACGTGTTTTGTAAAACCCAAAAGCCCCTTTTGAACAAGGGGATTTTTAAGTGTGTTCAATACCACCTATTAATTAGTTGCTGAGCGGAGTCTGCCTCCTACTGAATGCAGGATTTGATATCTGAAGATGCTAGATAAACACTTTTTTCTAAAGATAAATATTTAGTGGGCAGGAAGCCAGCAATGACTTTAACACTGAAAGTTATTATTGATTTGAATCACATAGACTTGACATTTCAACAGCTAAGCATGTGGGGGTTTTGTTAGCCCAGGGGATGGATTTAAAAGGTTTGAAAACTTGTAGCACCACTTTCAGAGACAGGAAGAATGGGGTTCAAAATAAAACATAAGCTTCATGAATAGAGAGCCAGTACTTGTCACCTTCTGATCACTTGTCCAGACTTAAGGAGACGCTTCAGCGCCAGAGATTTCTAAGGACTCCCAGAGGGCAGGTCCAACTCCGGGAGGCCAGCAGGCCTTTCAATGGAAGGCAAGTAAAAGCTCAGCTTGTCCCCCCAGGCCGAGGAGTTTCCCCATCTGTGCCGGTGAGAGTGGTTTTGGAGATTTTTTTTCCCCTTGCAGACTCTTCTTCCCTTTGTTTCCACCTGTTTTATTTCCGATGCTTCTCCATCTTCTCCAAGGTCTTGCTGGAATCAGCTGGACTCTGGTCCCCAGGATTCATGTAGGATTTCTCTATGATGACCAAAGCCTCTTTTATGTAGTTCTGCATAGCAGACACGGCGGCACAGATGGCCTGGCTGCCAAACCCGTGGGTAATCAGGCTGAAGTGAGACAGGTGGTTCTGAATGTTCGCCTCTAAGACCGGGGCCGGCCGGTTGTTCCCATTGGGTGTTCGGTCTTGGTTGAGAAGGTCCGTGAATTCTTTACACACTTGCCTGTGAACATAACACACACCTATGAGCTCAATCTAGCTCTTGACAGGTAGTTGAGGATGACACCTGGGAGGCAATCAGAGATGGCTGGCCTGAGCCAAGACAGGAGGCTTTAAACTAACACTAATATAATAGCCAATTGCCTCACTTAGTACCTATTATGTGCTAGTTTACTCTTTTAAGCACTATCTTTTTAATCCCCACTGATTAGAAGATAACAGGATTAACCCCAGTTAAGCCAGTCAGCAGCCAAGGGCATCAGGTGGGATCAGGATTCCAGCACCAGAAGGTTAAGGGACATTTGGTGCTGGGCCAGTTCAATAAGCCAATTCACCAATTCGGAGAATCACACATGTCCCTGAAATTCACTTTTTATCCAGCTGGTTCACTGTGCCCTCCCTTTTGCCCCATTTGCGACTGGACTCGTTCTGCTTCATTTCCCATGATTTTTAAACCAATTTACTGCTGGTTTCCAGGAAAAGTCCCGCAGCTGCAGAAAGTCGGTTTTGAGACATTTGAATTGCCCACTTGTCTCCTGCAAATCCAGTCATCACTACATTTAAGAAACAAAAGTCGTTACCAGGAGGCAGAAGGGACACAATCTTTACTGGATGTGACAAAACAAATCATCTTTTCAACACATTTTTAAAGATATGCAAATGTGATCAGGAAAGGGTACCTTTAACTATTTTGAGCTCAACAGCTAAGCAGCTCAAAAGACATTCACTACGGGAGCAATGCATTCGTTCATTTCACTGACTCTTCCCAGGTATTTGACTTTGTAAAAGAAGCTCTTTGTCATTTTCGTTTGCTCCCCACCCTAACTTATTTAACCAGCGTTTCCTGAGCACCAGGGCCTGGGGCTGGCCCCTCAACTTCAGGGTCACAGCAGCAAGGCACCTGTGTACTTACTGTGCGGCCAGCAGCATGTTCTTCCTCGTGGCCATCTCATTCCGTCCTCCGAGATGAGGCCTAGTTAAGTACTCGGCCACCGGCTTACTAGGAAACTCAGCTTCACAGACATACGCGAAGTCCCGAGCCAAGTGAACGGCCTCTCCTAGAATCATGAAAGAAGGTAGGGTGTACGGACGCTGTCCTGTTCCCCTTTTTAGTCACTGCAACCTCACTGAAATCACAGACAGGGCCCTGGCGAGGTGGTGGCTCTGTAGGTTGGAGCGTCATCCAGTACCCTGGAAAGGTTGAGGGTTCAATTCCTGGCCGGGAAGTATGTGGGAGGCAACCCATCAAGTTTTTCTTTCTCCTTTCCCCTCTCTCTAAAAATCAGAGAAATCGCAGTAAACAGGGTCAGCGCCCCAGCTGGTGAGGCCCTCTCCCCTATGGGCAGAGGGTGAATCCTAAAATGTGAGGAAAACAGCCCCCAAAACTTTTAACCACACCCGAGCAATATGACCCGGTCCCCTGCCCACCTTGACGAGATTGACCTTGAGATACACCCATGCTTGATAGCAGAAAGCAGTTATCTTTGTGGAGAAGTAGGAAAATTTAAAGGAGATGATGAGGATGTCTGACAACAGCAAACTGGTCGCTTCTCTTTACGAAACTGTTACAAAGTCTTTGACCCGGAACTTTCTTTTCAAACTAGGGCGCCCCATTACCCAAGGAACCAAGTCTCTAGAATGTTTCTTTAAGAAAGGGAGGCAGGCGTGTTTTTCCCATTGGAAATGCTAAGGTCCCCAACCACCGGCTTTTTCCAAGATACTGGGGAGCAGAGGGAGAGAGAACCAACAGTACCTGCCCTCCAGGCAAGCCCAGTGCCGACTGCACACTGCCGAGGCGGGTGGAGCTTTCAGAAGCACAAACGGTGCCCCCTTCATCCACTTGCCTCTGAGGGCTTTCCTGAATCAAGCGGATCTGAGAACCATTGTTCTGGCACTTTCTTATTCATACCCGACACTAGGTTAAGAAACCTGAGCGAGGTCGCATTAATGCAGGGGTCCTCAAACTACGGCCCGCGGGCCACATGCAAATATTGTATTTGTTCCCGTTTTGTTTTTTTACTTCAAAATAAGATATGTGCAGTGTGCATAGGAATTTGTTCATAGTTTTTTTTAAAACTGTAGTCCGGCCCTCCAACGGTCTGAGGGACAGTGAACTGGCCCCCTGTTTGAAAAGTTTGAGAACCCCTGCATTAATGCACCACACACAGAATCCACCACCATTGGCCATGCAGCCAGCTTGGTCCCCAACAGGCAGTTAACAGGCAGCTCCTTGCTCCTTACCCTGACCTCAAAGACACTCACAGAAAGGTGGAGTAGGGCCCCCCAAATCTCTTTAGCACTGGGGTAGCACCCATTAGACCAGGAGAAAGCAAGTGTTCAAAAGATTGCCTGGCTACTAGCCCTAGCCAGTCGCTCAGTGGTTAGAGCATCAGTCCGTGGACTGAAGGGTCTCAGGTTCAATTCTAGTAAAGGACACATACCTCAGTTGCAGGCTCCACCCCCCATCCCTGGCCCCAGGAGCCTGCAAGAGGCAATTAATGGGTGTGTGTCTCTCTCACATCAATGTACTTCTCCCCCCTCCCTTCCACTCTCTCTAAAAAAAAAAAAAATCAATGGAAAAATATCCTTGGATGAGGATATTTTGATTGCCTGGCTACCAGGACACCACCCGTCATTAGCTCCCCCAGCCAGAGCCCAGTATCCTGCTGACTGGGTGAGGGCTTGGGTGGCTGGAGGTTGCAGGATAAGCCTGACAGTGTTCCAAGCCATTCCCCCCCCCCTTTTTTAAAGCCACTTTAAAGTGTGTGAGTTTTGTTTTAATTATTTCACCTTTTCTCATCCCCCCTTTAAAGCCTAGATTGCATCCTTGCTACTTTGCAGGTTGGGCAGTGCCATCTCCTAGGATTAGGGGGAGGGAATCCCCTGTGGGCCCCGACACTTTTAATCAAGCACAGGAATTGTGAGTTGATCCAATCTCCTTTACAAGGGCTCCTCTTTGCTGATCACAGTCCCAATATCCCACAACTACAATAACCAGCAACCATACTTTCGTGTCCACCAATAAGCAGCTAAGCTCTTTAACATATATTTTTATTGATTTTAAATAAAATCAGAGAGGAAAGGAGAAATAGAAACATCACTGATGAAAATCATTGATTGGCTGCTGCCTGCATACCTCCCACTGGGGATTGAGCCCACACCCTAGGCATGTGCCCTGACTGGGAATCGAACCGGGACCTCCTGGTTCATAGGTCCACTCTCAACCACTTAACACCAGCTGGGCACAGCTAAGCTTTATAAAGGTGCTAGAGGCCCGATGCAAAGGGCTTGGCCCTCACAGCCCCGGCTTCATTCATCTAGAAGGCCATCCGACTGTCCGGTTTAATTAGCATATTACGCTTTTATTAATATAGATAGATAGTAACTGATCCACTGCATCTTCAAAAACTGGGTCATTGAACAGCCAATGTCTCAGCATCCTAGTTTGATTTCTTAGGTTAGGAAAACTCATTTCTTTTTTGAACCCAGAACACTTAGCAGGCAGATATTTGACAAAAAGCACTGTCAATCATTGTGATGAACTCATGACAATTCAAATCACCTTCATTTCGCTCTGCTTATGGCCAAATTAAGAGCTGAGAGAAATAGTAAAGGCACAACCCAGCAAAGGAAAAGCACCAGAAAACACCACTGACCTTCCACTAAGGACGTGAGGAGGGTGACGTGTGCGGCCTTCCGTCTGCCGGCTGGAAGGTTCAGCCCAATCTTGTCCAGCTTCTCCCGCAAGGACCGGCCTCCATTTTTAGACTTGGCTCTGCGTACAGGAGAGTCAACCTTGACTATTCTCAAGAAACCACTTTAAAACTCCAAATTCCTAGGCTGCCATCAAAACTAAACATTTTCAAAGAGAGACTGTCTACTTAATAGACTCTACTACATTATGTGGATCATAATCAAATGCCACAGGGTGTCCTCATTAGTTAATCCCTGTAAAATGCAAAATTTGTTCTTAGCATAGCCAGCATTCTCTTTTTTTAAACACAGAGTATCGTGAGCTGTACTGGAGCTGATAGATTTTTCACTCGTAAAAACTTCAGCAGCTCCAAAAAACAACTCCCTGGGGGGACAAAACCCCTGGAGCTTCTCTTAATTTGGAGGCCACCACTTCACTCACGGAATAAATGCTAACCAAATGATAATCTGTTCACACTGTTTTAGCACCTCCTCCTACATTTGGCACTTTCTAAAAGCAAAAGTACTAAAACTCTCTGAGCTGATTGGAATTCAGTGTTAGGTCTCAAAGTTACATAAATGTTAAAAATACCTCCCCGTGCTCTCATTTAGTCACCCAGCCACCATGCCCACAATGTGCCCCATATACCTTCTGAGAACACCTCCCAGTAATGAGGCATTTAAGCACTCAGGCGGGGACAATCGCCTCTGGACTTCGGCAACTGTCACTTTGTATTTCGATGTGGAGCTCAGGAGGGACAATCTTCCAGGGACGGAGCAGAAGACCTCACTGGGGTTCATCACAGCCCCCACCAGCTCCTTCTGACAGGGGAGGCTCAAGGGGTTCTTGGTCATTGAAATGGGACCTGTGAATGGGATCAGAAGTGCAGTCTTCAGAGCTGCATCGAAGCAAAAGAGACCTTTTCTGAACCACTAACCGATGCGAGAGGGCTCTTTAAACAAACAACATCGCCTGTGAGGCTATAAATTGCAGGTTTTTCTTAAAGCCTTGATCTTCAAAAATAATCCAACTGAAGTTCACCAGTTAACACCATGGAAAGTTAGTAAAAACCTCAAGCATGGAAGGATTTTTATTCGATTCCACTGTTAAAAATCTAGTTTAATTAGAACATTTGTTTTCAAAAGACTGCTTTGGTACTAAATAAGTGGTATTATTTTCATCTCCCTCAAGGAATAACCAAAATCACAGGACAAACTCAGATCCTTTGCCAAAACCTTTCGTGCAACAGCAAGTTTTTAAATACAAACAAACCTGTTCTGTTACAAATTTACTGGGAAATTCAGTGTATCTTCTGAGTGCAAAAAACTACAAAACAAAAAACAAAACATAAAACATTTCCCTCCAGCTGATTTCAAGCAGTTTAACTTCAAGTAACAGACCGTAACTACCTTTAATTCAGGCCCCTTCCATTTCCTAAAACAGCCAGGCTGGTAATCCCATCAAGCACATTACTTAATTCGGAGAGCCATTCACTTACCAAACACGATAATCCAATTTTCCAAATCCCACCCCCTTATCCTGCATAAACTCTTTAACATCAGCCTCCGACAGATCCAGGCCTGGTGCTTTTAGGGCTCTTTGGAAGGCCAGACTGTTTCCAAATGCTTTCTCGCAGGTTAGAATGAAGGATCCTTGCCACATGCGTATTTGCAATCGACAATAAAAATCACATCAACTCATTTGACAGTTAACATTGTCACAAACCACACAACTAAAGCCCTGGTGTTTTTCAAACATGGTAAAAATATCCTGAAATTAAAGGAGTAACATATCTGGGATTTCATTTAGGTGGGAAAGAAATGTCCTTTCTTCTCACTCCCAAAACCTGCCTTCCCAGAATTCTGGTCCCTTCCAGCACAAATGTCCTAAGTAAGCCACCAAATGCCCCCACCTTGCCATTAGGTTGATCACAACACTGGTAAGAGTCAGTGCACAAGGCCCTGTGTGGCCCTACCTTTTCGAATCACAGTCTGATCATGTAGAAGCAGGTGCTGCTCATCCACGATCTGGGGGAGAAATGACAAAGTTTCCTTTAAGTTCCGGGGTGCCTGGGCTGGGGGCTGGGATAGAGTCCGGGCAGGAGGGGGCAAGACCCTAACCGCACTCACCTGCACCTCGTCCATCTGTTGCCCCATGTCATGAAGGCCCAGGTTCTCCGCCAGCCCCGCTGCGTCCAGGGCGTGCGCGTGGGGTAGCAGCAGGTCCGAGCGACGGAAACCATCCCTGCGGGCGCTCATGGCGCCGCCGTCCAGCCCGGAGAGATGGGGTAGCAGACCCGCCGGGCGCCCGTGAGGCGAGGGCAAGCCAGCAGCCTCCTGGCTCTGGCGGCCGGGCCAGGCCTGCGGCTGACTGCCGGCGGGCGCCGGCTGGTGCAGGGGGTTGATGGCAGCGTACGCTTCTCCCAGATGCGAGTAGGGGTCAGCCGACTGGGAATAAGTCAGCGGCTGGTAGGGAGGTGGGAAGTAGGGTGGTGGCTGGTACTCGGCGACTCCGGTATGGGAGAGGGGCGGCGCGGGGCTGTAGAGATGTTGCCCGGCCGAGGAGAGGTGGGGGAGGCGCGGGTTCCCATTGCTGCTCCCGTCCTGGCGATCCTGGAAGGAAGAAACCGACACCCGGTTAGTGCGAAACCCCGCTACCGCGAACCGCCACGACCGCTACGCTGAGCCGGGCCCTCCCGGCGCCCAACGCCCCAGCCCGGATCCAGCCCGCGGGCCTGCCCTCGGGACGGAGGGCTCCCAGCAGCCATGTGCCCCAGGGATTT